GCTGAAACAAGGCTCAAAAAAACAAAACCCCACCACCCCACCCCACCCTGGCAGTTGAAACAGGGCATTTTCAACAGAAATGCCCCCTTTTAAAAGACCCTGTACTTTATTATACAGGATCTTTCTAAACGGGGCATTTCTGTAGAAAATACCCCATCTAAACTGCCCCCCCTCCGGAAAAGCCTTTCAGAGAAAAGCAGCGGCTGCCATTATGCAAATGAAGCGTGGGATATTTAAATCCCTACTTCATTTGCACTTTCGATATGGCTAATTTACACCCCTTTACCGAAAAAGGGATGTAGTCAAGAACTGAGGGTTTCTGGAGCAGATGTACCCGAGTTCAGTCCTCCTCTCACCTTACTGTGCAGAGCAACACCCATCTGCTGCAGGCCTTGTGTGCGAGCTGCGATCATTCCCCAGTATTTCCCCTGGCACAGGGGTTAGCCTGGAAGCCTAGGTGCTGTCTGGTGAGATCACAGCTGACAAGGAGAGAAGGGGGAGGGATTCCAGAAAGCTGCCATATAAAGCTCTTTTCAGAGCCCCGGTCCCCCAGGCCAGCTAGGAATTGGCTAAGAACCAGAGCCACAGACTTGGCTGCTTCTCTTCCCCCTCCCTCCCCATTTTGCGAGGATCAGCATCCCCCTCCCACCATTTTTGTTTTATTTCCTAGCTCTGCAAATCTGAAGCAAGGGTTATGCCCTGCCATTTCCTGCGCAGCGAGGCGGAACATTCCTGTGCTGGATATATTTAGATGCTGGCTTGCAACCCTGTCTGTGTCATGGGAGGGAGCTTGCTCTCAGGAGAGGGTGAAAGCATGGGGGGGGGGACTGCGGGGCTCACCCGCATGCAACCATCTCCCCCCCCCCATCCACTGTTAGCAGCTTAGCAGGGGGGACTGTTCTGTGCTAAGTGCTAGTCCAGGAGGACTCCACCTTTTTACGGGGATCCCCTTTGAAAATATTTCACCCACCCTGCCCCCCTTCCGGCTGTGGGCTGTGGCACTGCCTTCAGAACTGGGCACCTGGCCAGCAGCCACTGCTCCATGACCCCCGCCTCGGTCTTGTGACGCCCTTTTGGGTCAAGAGCCCCAGTGAGAAACGCTGCAGCCCCGCTGGCATCACTGGCTTCGGGAGGAACGACTGGCGAGCCGAGCCGCGCACAGGGCAGGGGCAGCTGCATGGCAGCCAGGGACCAAGGCCCACCGTAGGTTCTCATTCAGATCCGGGGCCCAAAGCCCGCAGGCAAGAGCTCCCCATGCGGACGGTTCAGACTGCCTGGTTTTCAGAGGCACGCAGCCCAGGGGAGCAAGGCTGGCTGCTAGAGCTCCTGAGCGGTCCCCGTCAGCGCCTGCGGGGCCTGGGAGAGGGTGGCACAGCTGGGCTGGCATTCCCACCAAACGAGGCACAACCCCGCTCTATGGTGGCCCGGGAAGTGCGGTGAGAGGGCAGCACAGTACAAGGGGACAAGGCCTCCCCCAGCCCCTGCCCGCTGCAAGGACAGGACCCAGCCCCACTTCCATGCTGCAAGCGCAAAGGAGTCTTGCCCCATCAGCTTGATCCCAACACAGCTCTGGTGCCAGCTGATCAGACAGAGGACCAGCAGGCCTGCGTGAGCCCATCACCCCCACCAGCAGGACACCCCCCCCTCCCCAGCATTGCCTGGGGCTGTGCAGAATCAAACCATTGCCGCTGCCTTAGCCCCTCAGCCAAGGGCACAAGCTGAGCGTCCAGCCAGGCAGCTCACGGATCCAAGGCAGCCTGCACTCGCACGGGGAAGGGGAACAATGGGAGGAAGGAGCACTTCCGTGTCCGGCTGCATAGCAAAGCCAGACGGGCCAGCTAGGAAGAGTAGCTGACAAGAGACCTTTGTCCAGAGCTGGACAAGGGGCTTCGGCAGGACAGAGCCTGTCACACCAGCGGCAAAGACCAGGCCCGTCCCAGCCTCCCCTCTGCCACGGCCACGGCTGGGTGGGTCTCCACTCTGGACTGGCCTACACAGCAGCATGGCTGGTTTGGGCCCTGCGCTCCCCCATGCTCAGCCAGGCAGCAGGGACCTGGCTGCAAGGGGCAGAGAGCTGGCTGAGGCAGGGGGAAAACGCTCTCGCCCGTCTGCTGAGCTATGATCCAGTGAATGAGTCAGGGGAGTGGAGCAGGGAGAGGCCACCTGCAGAAGCCAGCCTCTGCCAGGCAGAGCCATGGGCTGCCTCCCCTGCTTCCTGTGCTGGCCAGGCGCTCACGGGAACCTCACGCTGAGCACTGCTGCCCCCCCATGGCTCGCACTCCGCATGACAGGCAGCCCCATGGCCACGCCCCACTGCTGGCCACAAACAGCACTGTGCACAGAGCGACTCCCCCACTGCAGGGCCCAGCTCCAACCCCTAGGCCAGTGGTCCCCAACCTTCTGGGGCTGCCGGGGACGGGGCCGTGCATGCGTCATGCGCCCGGGGCAGGGGCTGCACATGGACCGGGTGCCCAGGGGCACCACGTTGGGGACCACTGCCCTAGGCCACAGAACAGAGCATCAATCCCGGGGACAGCTCCTGCAGGCAGGCCAACAGCACTGCCCTTGCCCACCCTGCCCCCCAAGCTCTGCCGCCTTGCTCTGTGCTGGAGGGGCTTGTACCACTCGGGGCCAGGAGACCCCCCGCAGCAGCGCACCGCAGCCTGCCTC